TTTAAATCTCCCTTCCTGGATTGGGTCATTTATATTATCGTTGCAAATTAGAATTTGAGTTGAAATGAAGTAGGTGGGTTTCCTCCTCCCCCTGAAAATATCGATCAGTGTTGAAAGGGCATCTTCTTTTGGTAATTGGGGAAGACATGAAAGGGCTGTGAAAATGTCATAAAAGAGTTGCTAGCAGTTGGAACTTCCTATATAACCCTCACTCTAAATGGTCTTCACTTGCTAGTGAAAGCAGCACAGTGCCAAATCCAATAGGCTATATAGCAGGCTTCCTCAACCTCAGCCCTCCAGATGTTTTTGGCCTACAACTCCCATTATCCCTAGCTAGCAGGACCAGTGGTCAGGGATGCTGGGAATTGTAGTCTCAAAACATCTGGAGGACCGAGGTTGAGGAAGCCTGCTATATAGCACTGGAGCATCATCACACATGGGTTCATTTGGCAAGAAATGAAACAGAGACAAATACTGCCAAGGAAGTAGCATTGGAGAGAGGAAATGGTGGCTGTGAATACTTATGAACAGCTACAAAAAAAGAAAAAGGATCAACAGCTTTAAAACAGCTATTTTTGAGGTTTAAAAAATGCATCTTTGTCTCAGCTCTACTCATTAATGGAGAGAGAATCGAGAGTATTTGAACTTTTATATTAGTAAATCTGTACACGTTTTCTGACCCAGGGCACATGAGAAATCAAATGGGGAGAACGATACTATTTCAAAATCATGGTAAAAAGGTATAACGTATCTTCAGATAAAGACCCACATTAATTTAAGTAAAAAAGGAAAAGGGAAAAGTAGATTACATTGCACTTTCTATCTTTGTTAGTTCCCGAACAGTGGATAGTACATGTACTGTAGATGTACTTGCTTAACTGAGCAGTCCTTAAGTAACACTGGCAAGAGAAGCCTCATTGGACTGCTGCCTTAGGAGCACTTAGAATGGTGCTCTGACATCTCATTCCAACTTCTACATGCAAAGAGGCATTGCTAGAATTGCATTACAATGCACTGGCTCAGCATCATTGTTCCCCATCTCCGAAATCTCATTTGTTAGCACAGTGGCTCTCAGAAACTGGCCACAAGGTGTTGACCCTAAGAACAATTGGGAAGGGAAGGTTCGCTGAGATCTGCGAGATGGATTCTCCTGTTTCTGCTCCCTCCCACCCCCCCAAACTTCCCACGTGGAACTTTAAATAAAGTGGGAAAGTTCTCTTATTAAAAATAAAAAAGGGAGAGACTGGAAAGCACTCCAAGGTTGCTATCATATTTCAGTTGACTCCCCTGGTGCACACTCCACATAGGGAAGTGTTTTCATCTGAACCAGATGGCTGAATTACACTTTTCATTTCTGTTCAACAAAGCTCTTGGGAAGACCCAGTTGAGCGGGGCACTTAAGAAGAAACTCTGCGCAGTAATTCTGCATTGCAGCAACAACATACTGAACCAAAATGTTCTGATCTAGAGAAAGCTGGCTGCTTTTTACCTCAGATGCACGGTTTGTATCCACCATGAGATGGGAAGCAAGCATTGTGGGCCCCATTTTGTGGCTCTCCCTTCCTGTTGAACTCTCAGTGCTTACTGAATATTATTTTTTAATCCAGCAGGCATTTTAGTTAAAGTATGATTTTATAGTTTTAAACCGATTTTTTACCTTTTCTGTATTGTATTTCTTGCATGCCATTTAGAGACTATCGCAGTTAAGAAATGGTTTCAATACATCAATGAATCACCTGTGTCCTTTGTGTGTATCCAGATTATCAATATGCAGGAAATGTTTGCACACGCAGCATGAGTCCTATTTAGACCTCTGGGTGAACACATGTAGGCTTAAGGTGGGGAGCGGGCAGGGCACCCCAACATCCCTCTGCATGCCAGCTTTGTTTCTGACCTTCTCAGGTTGACCATAAAAATATGAAGGGAAATGGTAACCTGTTCTATCAGGGTTCCCAAACACCGTTGCACTCTCCTTTGGATCTTCACATGCAGCCTGTGAAGATCAAGGGTGAAGTTGGTACTTGCAGGGCAATCAGGATTGGGCTCGCATGCATGCCCCTCCTGTCTCCCCATTTTAAGCCTTACCACATTCACTTGAACACCTGGATAAGGGCTGTGGTGTTTCATCAATTCATACCAATACTTGTGAGCGTCAGGAACTTGAACCCTACCATCCTCCTTGTAAAATCAGGTGGAAGGCAATTTGGGGCAGAACCTACCTGCAGAACAATTGTGGAGAGGAATGTGTGTCAGGAGCTGGGCAGAGCAGGAGGAATGGTGGCTACTGCCTCCCCATCCTGACCGTTCCAGGGAGTAGGAAGAGGAAGATAGTGTAGATTTACAACAGGGGTTTGAGGGAGGTCGCAGCTCAGAGGCAGATGAGGGGAAAAGCTGAGAAATCATGGGAGAGCCAGAACAACACCCAGCTGACATGTTGTCATTAGAAAGGATTCCAAACCCTCCATCTCCCAGAATGCGGTGAGCCTTTAAAGTAGGAGAGCAAAGAGCCCAAAGACAGAGGGCACGTAGCAGCACCCATAGAGGAGACGATGAGAATGAGAAATGAGGAAGTGGGAGTGTTAAGTTGTGGGTGAACATATCAGACGACACAGCGATTCTTCAAACAGCTCTTGTTTATTCACAGGCCAGAACAGAACTGAACTGAAGGGTTCAGTCAGCCTGCTTATATAGAGCTCCAGTACAACGCAACTGTAACAATTTTCTAAGACTATCCAATCACTGAACGTCACTTTCAATCCCTTATTTGCATAACCATCTACAGTATCCCCCTGCTGGCCCAGGGTGAGAACTTCAGTACATAACAGGGAGAGATGAGGGGTGGAGATTCACTCGGGACAACGCCATTATCCAACAGGCTAGGTTCTATAGCCTCTCTCTGTAAAGATTGCAATAAAAAAGAACAGTAAGAAACTTTCCCCTTGTCTTTATACTTCCCTGGGCCACCAGCCTGGAGCCACTAACAGCATCCTGACAATGTGTGGCAATTTACACATTCCTGCCTATGAAAAGGGTGCTCTTGCACTTGCTTTGGGAAGCTAGTGCTGACTGTATAAAAAGGCCTGACCCCTGTCAGGCAGTGAGGGCCCAATGTGTGCATACAGTGGAGAAATGCTTCAGACCCCACCCCTTGTGAGCATCCCAAGAGGCTGCTAGTAGGAAGCCTGACTGCAATAAGGGAGATGGCAAACACCAGTGCAATGTTTCTCTCCCACAACCGCACAGGATTCCAGATCCTCCAAGTGTCTCTATTTCCCATGGACAGTTCCAGATTTAGATAAGCCGTCCTGGTTTTGGATTTCATCCCAAAATGTCCTGCTTTTCCTTAGGACGTTCCTATTTTCATCAAAGGAACATGGGAGGGTATGGAGTTATGTGATCTCTGAGCCAAGGAGATAGGTAACTATACAACTTTTAGAAGCCATCCGAAGGCAGCCCTGTATAGAGAAGTTTTTCAATGTTTAATGTTTATGTTTCTGTATATTCTGGAAGCTGTCCAGAGTGGCTGGGGCAACCCAGTCAGATGGGCAGGGTATAAATAATAATATTATTGTTATTATTGAATAGGACGTCCTTATCTTCATCAGAGAAATGTGGGAGGGTATGAGTCTGTGGGCACAGCCTCTCTTACAGAAGAAGAAGAAGAAGAAGAAGAAGAAGAAGAAGAAGAAGAGGAGTTTGGATTTGATATCCCGCTTTATCACTACCCTAAGGAGTCTCAAAGCGGCTAACAATCTCCCTTTCCCTTCCTCCCCCACAACAAACACTCTGTGAGGTAAGTGGGGCTGAGAGACTTCAAAGAAGTGTGACTGGCCCAAGGTCACCCAGCAGCTGCATGTGGAGGAGCGGGGAAGCGAACCCGGTTCACCAGATTACAAGTCCACCGCTCTTAACCACCAGAGTTCTTTTTCACTGAATATGTTCAGGCATCCCTATTTTCATCGAAGGAATGTTGGAGGATATGGGATTCTTCACATATCTGCCCATCCAAACTTGGTGGTACAAGAACCAGGGCTCACTTGAGCACATAATTGCTCAGTGCTGTGGATGCATCTCAACCCCGTTCCCCTCCGAAGGAAACGGGACCTGCTAAAAACAGAAGCAATTACAATTAATAACAGGCTTGCTACAGTGGCACGGCTCTCTCTGTTCTTCTAAAATATATTTCTAAAACATGAGGAAATCAACATCATTACTGCAACCTATGTAATTACGCCTGAGCAGGCAAACACTCCGCCCTCTCCTATCCCCAGCTTGTTTAGAACATGCTAAGTGGATCTGATCAGGGTGCAGTTTGCAGAGCCATCTGTGTCCCTACAACCTCCGCTCCTGAAACCCTCCTACACCCTCTTCCCACGCCTTTGAAACATTCCAGGTGCTCCGTGAACAAAACAGAATATTGAAATGAGCAGCACACGGATACAGTATCGTTCAAGGACATGGGAGAGCAATGAGCACCAGGGCTCCTGTAGCAAACGCTACTGGAATATTTATTCCCTTATTCATGGAGAGAACTGCAATCTCCTCTTGACTGCTTCCAGCTTTCATCCCTCTCCCCTCCGTAGCTGACAGTTCTGTGCCATTAAACTCCGAAATCTCATTCCACAGCCTACATCTCTGTCCGCTGAGCTCCTCCCTCCTGCAAAGGCTGCAGTACTCCCCCCCCCCACACTTCTCAGCCTACTTGCTAAAGCATGATGGACTTGAGATGCTCGCTGTAAAAAGAGCTCCTTAATGGCTAAGGGTCTATTTGCGGTGGATGACAACATTTGCATCCTCCGAGACACGATTGCAAAAGGTGCGTGCTCTTGAGACCTCATCTGCAGGTGATATCCACTTATCTGCTACAGTTGGGCTTTTCAAAAGTGCCTCATATAAAAGATGAAGGCAGGCTTTACATTTCAAGTGTGGCAGAAGCTGCTGAACTCACTTTCTGGCATGTGTTTTTAGGGAAACACAGCATCTCACTGCTTGCCCCCCAAATGAATAGCTCCGTCCCCTTGAGTGTTCTCCTTGACCCACAAAACTCCTTGAGGGACGATGAAGGTTGGTAAGACAACTCAAAATTGCTGTGATTCACAGTAGGTTAGCAAAGAAGGGACAGAGCACGCCATTCCTTCTCTGCCAGCCCACACAATTTATCTGCTGGCCACTGAGGAGAGCATTCCCTTCACACACATTTTATTTCCCCTGCTCTGCTGCCAGCACAGAGATGGAGACGGCTGGCAAAAGAGAGGCAACTTTCTCCATTTTGTCTTTGCCAGCTTAATGTGTGTGTTTGTGTGTTGCCTTCTCCACACCAAGTGGCAGAAACAAGGCACCCTGGTGCCTGGGGAGGGACCCTGTCCATTGCTTTCTAAAGACAAGTTTCTTTTAAAAAAAAATAGATCTGTTGTGGCAGAATACTTTAATTGCACAAACCTAAATTTCCCTCCTGCAAAATAGGTAGAGGTAAAGGTAAGGGACCCCTGGACAGTTAAGTCCAGTCAAAGGTGACTATGGGGTGTGGCACTCATCTCGCTTTTCAGGCTGAGGGAGCCAACGTTTGTCTACAGACAGCTTTCTGGGGCATGTGGCCTGCATGACTAAACCGCTTCCAGCCATGATGGAAACCAGAGCGCACGAAAATGCTGTTTACCTTCCCGCTGCAGCGGTACCTATTTATATACTTGCACTGGTATGCTTTCGAACTGCTAGATTGGCAGGAGCTGGGACAGAGCAACGGGAGCTCACCCCTTCACGTGGACTTGAATTGCCAACCTCACAATCAACAAGCGTGAGAGTCTCGGTGGTTTAGATCACAGTGCCACCCGCATGCACTTCCTGTTAACTAGAGAGGCCCTGTAATAGATGGATTGCCTACTTGCCCGCTCTTTGCCTGCCTGCTGCTTCTCTGTCCTCAAGCTACTGCCCATTCAGTGAGATGACCACTACAGTCATACTTATGCTGACCACCTCACTAAGAGAAGAACATACAGGGTCCACCATCTGCTCCCAACTAATCCCATCTCACTGAGAAAGAGATTGTGCTGATGCCAGTGGCGTAGCGTGGGTTGTCAGCACCTGGGGCAAGGCAAGTAATTTGCGCCCCCTAACCCGTGGATTTTAGTAGGGGCAGAGAGCTGTGGGTGCGAGCACGTCCCCCAGATGTTGCGCCCGGTGCGGCCGGCCCCCCCGCACCCCCCACACTACGCCACTGGCTGACACGTACCTGCTTTGGGCAGCTTCTGCAAGACAAATAAATATTCTGCCCACATGTTACTGCCTGCCTGAGTGGAAGAGGAATGAAGATGAATGAATGTCTCTCCCTACAAAATGATGCTCCCTACCTGAAGGACAGGGGCTGCCCACCGTGGCCCATGCTAGCCACCTGAGGGAGAAAAACTGAGGGAGAAAAACTGGCCACTGTGATCTCATGCTGATGCTGCCTATTTCACAGACTGGCCACTGTGTCCTCACATGGATGTGTCCCACCAGAAGGAGAGACAAAGGCCATTGTGATGTCATGCTGATGCTGAAGGAGAGAGAAACTGGCCAATGTACCAGCCCACAACTGCTGTTCACCTGAGTAACAAGGAGACACTGCCTGGCACACCAACACATTGCTCACCATGTTCATGAGAATTATGTCCTTTGCACCTTGGACCAAACTGGCATTTCTTAACTTGTTTTTACTCTCCTGTTCCTGCATATTAGGTTCTCTTACCAGAGGTCTATAATAACAAGGTAATGTATCAACCACTTTTATCTGTACACAAAAGGTAGGTAAAGGTAAAAGGTAAAGGACCCCTGGATGGTTAAGTCCAGTCAAAGGCAACTATGGAGTTGTGGCACTCATCTTGCTTTCAGGCTGAGGGAGCCAGCGTTTTTCCACAGACAACTTTCCGGGTCACATGGCCAGCATGACTAAACCACTTCTGGCACAATGGGACACCGTGACAGAAGCCAGGGTGCATGGAAATGCTGTTTACCTTCCCGCTGCAGCGGTACCTACTTGCAGTGGTATGCTTTCAAACTGCTAGGTTGGCAGGAGCTGGGACAGAGCAATGGGAGCTCACCCCGTCATGCAGACTCAAACCACCAACCTTCTGATTGGCAAGCCCAAGAGGCTCAGTGGTTTAGACCACAGCGCCACCCGCAGCCCTTCCTGCAAAATACTGACAGTCTGGAGGGAACCTTAACTTGACATTTGGAATCTATGTAAAGATCTCCCAATCTGATTCAGTGAAAAGCAAGTGCAATTAAAGTATATCAATTAGCAAAGCCTGATACTTTGGAGGGCTGCATCATATCATGGCAGAGGAGAGTTGACTAATAGTTTGACTCAGGGTAAAATCAGCTTCAAAGGTTCAATCGGTGTCTCGATGCATGTTTACATTTATATCTGTGCTATCAATGTTACTGTGCACAGGGTGCATTTTATCATTTTGGGAAGATACTTTCGTAGAACTAATCTCTTGCCTTAAGGTTTCAAAGGGATTAGAGGCTGGCTATTTTCTTCCACTGCAATGTGGGAGATTTATGCAGGTAATTCCATTAGCGCTGTTGATGTTCTTCACATAAATCCCCTGAGCATTAATTGGAGGAAACAGAAGCTCAATATTATATGCAGATCGTGCAAAGTCCCCCTTAATTTAGGGCTGAGTTGCACAGGAGAAACCTAAAAAATACTGAGCCAGAGACTGCTTTGTGCAACAGCTTTTCCAAGGTGTGTAAAATTGTTGTGGGGAGTGGGGGGAGGGGTAGAATATGTGCACAATGTATACATTTCTAGAAACATCTGGGACCAGAACTAGTGTGAAAGCATAGGATATTACCTTAGCATGTTATCACATTGACCCCAATGGCTCTCAGGGCACCATCTTGATGAAGCTAAGCAGAACTGGATCTGGTTTGGATGGGAAACCTCCTAGGAATCGCATGCATGTTGCCTTGCCCTCTGTGATAAGCAAGGTAGAAGTGTAATAAACTAAACCAATGGTCACCACCTTTTATGGGCCAGTGAGCAATTTCAAAATTTGAGAGACTGTTGGAGGTGCCAGTCACAAAATAACGGCAGGCACCAGGTTGCCGGCCTCTGAACTAAATGAAAGAGGCATGCCAGGGCTGAGTGTGGCCCCAGTGATTCTTGAATGTCACTCCTGCAGCTAAAAATGAGGAAGAAGTGTGGTTCTCTACTCCTGGAGGTGCTCACAACAGTTCTGCTGAGCCAGGCCTTGACAGGTCCAGTCCTCACCAAGTCCTGTACATTGACAAATGCCAAAGCCCATGTCACATTAGTCCCCGTGTTCTTGGAGGAAACAGCAGTGCCAGCTAGGGATGGAAGGTACATTTGATTCTGTTTTCATTTAAAGGAAACTCCCCTGATTTGCACTTTGGAAACAAGATGCAAACCAAAACTCAGCCATCCTTCAAAATTCGCTCTTCTCTGGATTTTCCAATGTCGTTATCTAGCACAAAAAAAAAAATGCATATTAGGGCACAGTGTGCATACTAATGTATACATTAGTGATAAAAGCATACAAAATGCATTACATTAGGGTAAAGGGCTTGCAAAAAATGGTACCTTAGTCAAAACGGCAGCCAAAAATGTGTTCATTATAAGAAGTTCACACTCACATTCTCTTGAATTTTCAGGAGTTTCTTTTTTCTTTTTTAATCACGAATTCCTGCAGAATTGTGAAGAACTCAGTTTAAGATAAGGGGGAAATGAGAAATGTAGAGAATGGAAACTGACAGGTTTGTGCAAGTCTAATGCAGGACACCACTTTTCTCTTGAAAATACAGAGAACCTGCGATCAGGAAAGGAGGGTATATCTGCTTTTGTATATTGCAAAGGGACAGGTGGCAAGTGATATGTGGCACACATGTGTATTTAACAGCTGATATGGCACGCATTGTGCATTCTGTTATCACTACCTGCATATAAATTGTTGTGCCAGAACTGAAGAGCTGCCCTCAGTTACCAAGCAGTTACTAATCTTGCCTGCCAGGCAGGCATTGTTAATCTCTCAATCAGGGAACAAAGGAAAAATCTTGTCTATAGCTGCTGCTGACAAGTTGAAAACCCAAGCAGGTGTCCTCTTCCTAAGCAAATGCGCGCGCACACACCTTTAGAGAGGGGAAAGTTCCTGCTTTTGAGAGTGGCAAACAATCTCCTTTGTCAGGTGGTTTCGGAGCCAATCCGAGTGAACCATTTTGTGACACTTTGATTTGGACAAAGACTTGGTCCCCTGCCGAGTGCCAGGTGCAGACAGAAAGGGGTGATCCATAAGATCCCCGCAGTGTCCACCCTGCCAAGGAAACACTGAGTGGAACACAGAATAATGTTTTTTGAAAAGGTTAGTCATGAATGTCTCCTCGCAAACATGCCAGAAGGATGAGCATGTTAGTGAAAACCTAACCTTTGTCTCAAAGAGGCCTGACCGACTGACAGGACACACAAAAAAACCTTCTTGAATGGTGGTCACGAAACAGCATCCATCTCTGCCCCAAACAACACCCACCATTTATGACTACGTTCTCTCCTTTTAACCACCCATTTTGCTTCCAGGCTAGCTCCTGGAGACGAGGCATGGGATTTTGCAACAAAAGCGTTAGTGGGGCTGCACTCTGCAGAGAAAAACAGGAGGCACAATTTATTATTATTTTATCTGGCACGGAAATATATTCTCCCCGGGTGAGCATAGCCCCTTGCGCAACGTCTTCAGCGTTCCACATCTATTTTTCTCTCCTTTGCTGAAAGCTTTATGTCAGCAACACTTCCTTTTTACAGATACCCCCTAGAGTCTTTTGCACTCAAGGGCAGCCCTGATGGGAAGAAGGTGTTTTCCGCCCTGCGGCTCTACATTGTGATTGCAGACTGCCTCCCCAGTCTCACAAACAATGGCAACGGAATGGCTGCCATCCCTTTTTATATTTTTTGAGCAGTATAAAACTGTAAGTGGCTGCAAGAAGCGGTCACTGCTACATGCTTTCCCACCCCTCTGTTTTAAAGCCATTTTAATCTATTCCTGTCCTATCTCTTCCTGTGTAGCAAGCAGCTACACCTTTCGGCTGCTTTCAGAGAAGCTTAAAAAAAACCACCTTCAGCTTCCAGCTTGGCTAGAAACCCTGTGTATTATGGGAAGGATTTTTTTTTTAACTTGCCAGCTCTTGAAATAATCAACTCAAGCAGGGTTTGAAGACAGAGCTAGAGCAGACAGCCCTGCAATGTCAAAAAAGAGGATTTGCACCATCCCCCTCCAAAGAAAAAAAAGGACACCAGTTTGCATATGGTGATTTATATGTATAGATGCAAATTTAGAAACAGAAATGCTATAGTGAGGAAGACCCCAGCTGCGTATCTGCTCAGTCTGCTGACCAGGAGATGTGAAGGGCTGGTGAGCAAGGCTCCTTCTCCCTCTCTTCTTTTATGGTTCCTTATCTTTAAAATGGACTCCGACTGCCAAATAGATGACAACTTCAAATAGAGGACTGTCTTTTGAAAGGCCATCAGACTCAAACTAGAGGACTGTAGAGGATGCCTCCCTGATTTCTCTCCCTGCTGTGTGTTCAACACCTACTCACTTTGCCTTCCTGAACTCTAATGAGTTTCTTATCCGAAAATTCTAGAGAGGTCTCCACTAGGGTTACCAGATGTCCCTGGTTCCCGGGGACAGTCTCCTGATTTGCAAATCTGTCCCTGGACAAATTCCTTCCCTGGAATATCCCCAGATTTGCAAATCTGCCCCCAGGAAACGTGGCAGCGGCAGCCTCAGCAGCCCAAAGCCAGTCTGGTAGCGCAGTTGGCTCTGGCTGGCTTCAAGAGCTGCTTGCTGCCATGGCGCCCACCATTTTTCCTCGCCGGAAGTCCCCATATGATGTGTCTTGTGCTCACATGATGTGTCTTGTGTGATCTCCTGCCCCCCTCCCCCTTTGTTTTGACTGATCAGGGGAGGCTCGGGAGTCACAGGCAGCCATTGCCCCGTTTTTAAAAAACTCTGTGCATTTATGTTTAACAGGGTGTGAAAGAAGGACTTTGCACCTTTATACAATACGCATGTATGATTGGGCCCAGGGTCTTTTGCCTCACCATCTCCACTACTGACTCCCTGTTGCTACTCAGCTAAAAAAAAAAGTGTTCCCGGATTCATTGGAAAAAATCTGATAACCATGGTCTCCATGGCACCATTCAATACTACTTTAGACAGTCATGGCTTTCCCCAAATAATTCTGGGATCTGTTGTTGGTTATGCTGAGAGTTGTTTTCCTCCCAGAGCGAAAATCCCCAGAGTTCCCTGTTTGGCAGGCTGGGGGAGCGGGGAGTGTGATTATGTTGGGAAAGATGAAGTGCTTCATGAAAATCACACACCTGCCCCATGGAAAATGCATGTGTGTACCTGAGGCTATTGATGTCTTCTACGCTCTGCTCCCATTGTCAGAGGTGGCATTCCTCTGAATAATGGGTGCTTGGAATCACAAGTTGGGAGAGCGTTGCTACACTCAGATCCTATTTGTGGGCTTGCATAGGCCATCATGACTTACCTAGATAGGCCACTGGCATGATCTATCAAGGCTCTCATGTTCTCATGTTAACACACACACATATTGTCATGGCATGTGGACCAAAAGGTTACTCCCACACACACACACTTTGAACAGCCTATAGAGTCTTTCGTGCTGCATTATCACCAAGATGGAAGAAGAACCATGTTATCTTCTGGGCCATGCTATCTTCTGCCAAGCTCAGAACAACCGCTGTGCTAGCTGCTCTTATAAGGGGTAAAGCCAGGAAGCAGGACTTCCTCTTAATTTCAGTCTTCTTTGTTCAGTGAGGCTGCTGAGAATCAGCAACCATGGCCTACAGCATTAGCCTGGGGCACTCATAATTTCCTCATTCCCAGCACTAATGGATATTTGTTTTTTATTGTTTTGCTACAGATTTAGAGTTAATGGACCATTGTTAGGAAAGTAACGGAGTTACTCACTGTTTTATTCTTTCTTAATTTGGACACAGAGTTTCTGAATGCAGAATGAGCTTCAACACTTCACTTCAGAGGAATAATAAATGCCCGTGTTTTCAAGATGTTTTGGTTGGCAAATCATTATGTCTGTCAAGCTGAGACATGCCTATAATGGTAACTCGATTTTTCAAAGTAAAATTACATTTTGGGGAGGTGGGTTGGGTTGTTGTTTTATGGGCTATAAATCTCTGCAGCATCTTCGTCTAGATGCAGGTGAATACAGATGGACAGAAGGCTGTTGTGTTTTTTAGTATCTACTTTCAGCAATTGATAGTACTTTGGGTTGGACAATTGACTTCTCCAGCATTGGGTCAACCCATCTTTCTGTGTTAAAGATATTGCCAGACCTTAATCTGGCATTATATTAAAACTCCACAATTGCAAAAGCTATCACTGTGTTGTAAAGTTAATATTATTCTGTTCCTCCTTCCTCTAATAACACCATGAGAAACCACGGTACAGCGATGATCCTTAAAAATGATGCTTTGCTTACTCTGTATTTCTTTTCTTTTGTTGGCTTGAATGCATGTGTTTGTGTAGGAAATATCTATATAACAACACTAATTTTGGTGGGGTACGGGAATGACAAACTAATTCCCTTGGTACAGTGGAAACTGTGGTGTCTTTATGATATATGGTTCATTTACACATATATACAACCTGGACCTATGATGGAGGGGCTCACAGCATCAACACCCAAGAGGATCTTGCATCTCCTGTAACCACAGCCTTGGATTCAAGAAGAAATCAGACGAGGTTTCTCTCAAACACAGGCTTCAGCCTGCTTCTTTTCCGCTTTCTAGCTCACACATTCCAAACTGTCAACTCTGTGATTTAGTCTTTCTAACTATCAACTATCCTTGAGTTGAAGAGGGGGCACCCATTTGTTGTCTCACATGGATCCATTTCCTTTGTTCCCCTTAATGGCCCATCACCTCACAAGGAAGCTAGTTTGACTATTACAGGAATTAGAAGGGCCTGCCCCCCTCCCAACTCATAACAATAGGTTACCACAGAACAGAGGGGGCTGTATGAAATTACCTAATTTTGCCATTATAGGAACCAGGACCTATCACTTTTTTTCATCATACAGAGTTTACCTTGTTCCTACGCACTCCTGATCAATGTTTATATGACATTATTAAGAAAGATTCTTTTGAGATATGGAATTCAGTGCCACCAACATATTGATCTTTGCTTCTTGCTTTCATCCTGCTGAAAGTTATATTGCCTCTGTGTCGGCTTGGCGCCTGGCTACTCCTGGGAACTGAACGCAGGCGAGTCTCTTCTGACAATGAATCCAGAGAAGACTAAAGTGACCGCGGACAGCAAGTCCCAAGACTGTGGTTCCCATCACTGAAACTGCTTGGCATCCAGAGGCCACTCAGGTTGTGTGACCTTTGTGTGTGCTTTGATTCATCATCTGGAATTTCAGGTTGTAATGGTGGCCAGGTGAGCACATGGTCAACTGTCCCTAGGGGGAAAGCAGCAGACCTCATCTCTAGCTCAGCAAAACAGGCAGCTGCCTTTGACTGAGTCAGACCCTTGATCCGTCTAGCTTGGTACTGCCTACACTGGCTGGCAACAGTTCTCCAGGGTTTCAGACAAAAGGCATTCCAGCCCTGCCTGGAGATGCCAGGAATGGAACATGGTATCTAACTCTGAGTAAATTTGCTAAGATGTATAAGACAAAATCAGATAAGTGCTGGAGATACAATGAGACTGAGGGTACCTTTTATCATATGTGGTGGACCTGTAAAAGGGTAAAAGATTATTGGGAAATAATTCACAATGAATGGGAAAAAATGTATAAAAGTACTTCCCCCCCAAAAAAAACCAGAATCCTTTTTGTTGCAACTAATTCAAACAGAAATTCCCAGGTGTCAAAAAAGTTTATTTATGTATGCTACTACTGCGGCTTGTGTTTTGTTAGCCCCCAAATGGAAAATGAGTGAGGTCCCAACTAAAGAAGAACGTCAACTTAAGCTGATGGAATATGCACCGCTTGTGAACCTGACATATAGAATAAGAGAATAAGAAGAACATACGTTTAGAGAAGATTGGAAAACATTTATTGAATATATGGAGGAAAACTGTGTACATTTGAAAACGTGGACAGCATTAAGATAAATTCAACAGTGTAAATAAGTTTTGGTGGCTATAATAATGGAATACTGAATGGTTTAGTTTATATAAAATATGCAGGGATTTATGTTATGCAAAATGAACCATGGAAAGAGAAGAAGGGAAGTCATTGATATTTTAAGGTTGTTTAAATGAATATTCTAAAATGTAAAACACAAAATTTAATACAAATTATAGGGGGGGATGACATGGGACATTCCAGATGCTCTACCACTAAGATAGGACCTTTCTCCTAGTGACAACTGCTTATGTATTGTCAGGGAACTGACATTGGAGCCAGAGGCGGAGGCGAGGCTCTCAAGCGATGCTGGAGAAGGGCCCAGCAGGGGGAGAGGCGGCTCACCAGCTGGGGAAGGAAATCTGCGTAACACCAGGGATAAAGGGGGGCAGATGGGGGAATCGGCGGGGGGGCTCCAGGACTCCTCGCCGGAGATCAGCGAGGAGAGCATGGGTCCTCCGCTACCCACGCCCTCCCTGCGCAGAAGACTTCCGCGCAGGGAGAGTAGGAGGAGACTTGGAGTCAAACAACTTTTATGCTGGAAAAGGTTTAAGAAACGCCCACTGACGGATTCTGCTAGCGACTGAACAGCCACGAAGTGTAGGGCTGTCCAGACAGAAAACTAGCCAAGGCAAACTAGCCAGGAGTGGCACCAACTTGCGCACGAGTAACCCCTACATTTATTACATGTATCTGCCAGTGTAAGGCCCAACTAGTTCTACAGTACATGGGACTGCTTTTTACCTGCGAGCTCCTGCCAGTGCAGAATGTGTGACTCACATCTTGACAAGGGAAGGGCCAAAACCCAGTGACAGAGCCTCTGCTTTGCTTGGAACAGGTCTCAGCCTCAGTCCCTGGCATCTCCAGTTTAAAAAGGTCTGAGATCTTGGGAGACTGTTGCCCACTAGTGTATGGCCGTGGGCTAGCTAGATGGACCAATGGTCTAACTAGGCACAAGACGGCTTCAAATGCTATTATAAAGTTTTCTTCCTGGCAGTTTTTGAAGAAATAAATTAATTCTTAATGACACGCTGAGACAAATCTCCCACTGCTTTCAGTGCCACAGAGATTAATAGACTAAGTTGGTGGACCTTAGATTTCATTAAGGTCATGCTAAATTGCCTTACAAATAATTTAATTCTGATTGTCCACCCCCAGCCCCCAAACCCCCTGATTCTAAGCTGACAGATTACACAGCAATTAATCAGCGCAAGGGTTGGCCTTTGGGTCTTGTATTCCGGAGGAAAAACTTATCCTGTTTTCAATGTTCTCGCGCGGGAAAATGGCATGCTCCAGTAAGTTCTGATTATTTTCCATGCAGCATGAAAGATTAAACACGCTTTTAAATAAATTTATTTGTACCGCATGGGCCTTATTTTATACAGGCAGGAAGAAGCCAATTTCACTTTGATGGGGACATGAGATACGATTTGTCAATTCAATTCCGGGCATCTAAATTAGATACCATGTCATAAATTTCTGCGATAGGTACAGTCTATTTTTTTTATTATTATTTTTTGGGGTTAACACCAAGACAGGTCTGGAGTTAAAGCCTTATCTTTGATAGAAAGATGTATATGAAAAGGAGCCTTCACATTTTTTTTTAAACAAAATCAATCAATGGGACTATATAGGAGATCTCGAAACATAACAAATAATGGGATAATAATTTCAAAACTTCTCACAGATCTCCTTTAGATCAATTAATGTATTAAATATAGTCTAGTCAAATGCCCCACAAAACTGCTGGTCTACTAGCATCTGTGGGGAAATGTCTTGGGGGGAAAGTGTTTGTTTGTTTTTTAATAGTAAAATATCATCCTCTTCATGTACCACCACAGTAGGCCCCAGTTGTTAACTCAGGAATGGAGAAATTGTGGCCCTCCTGATGTTGATAGACTCGAACTCCCATCAGCCTCAGCCAACATGGCCAATGGTTGGGAATGATGGGAGTTGCAGTTTAGCCACAACCCGGTCTTAAAAGAATTAGAAAAAGAAGATGCTCTACTGCTTCCACAGTAAGCACCTGGACCCCCTGAAATGTTTCATCCCCACCTGCCAAACAGTTGAAGCAGACACACAAAATTTGCCAACTGCAAATGGGGTGATGAATTGTGCCAGCTGTTTGATCTCTAACTGTTAGATAAGGCTCTACAGTCTCCTAGAATTGCTCTCTACTGTGCTTACTTTTGGAAAGGCTCTTCCTCTCCAAAGATCCATAATTTCTGCATATGTTACCCTCTCTAGGTAGACTGGGTTTCCTTAACATGACCATGTAGACTTTTTTTCCCCAGGAGTGGGGTGTGAGATTCTCTGTTTAGAAGAACCATCAAGGGCATCCATAGACTATATACACCCCCTTTGGCTCAGAATCATATTGTCTCCCCAAATCTAGTGTTCTATACCATTGGCTACAGTGGCTGGCAAAAAGCGATGGATCTCACCTTTTGTGGAAAACAGACTTGATATCCTTTAGCACCGAGGAAAAATCCTCTTCATTAAAGTTAATGATGACATTGTGAAAGACACTTAATAATGTGGTAATGCTTAGTTGATCAGACGTAATTGGGTGATGCTAATTGTAAGGCAGTGTTGTGTGTGGATAGGTCTGGTTTGGCTGCGTAAGGATCAGTGGCTGGAGAATGAGTTTGCTATGAACCATACAATAGGACAAGTCTCACTGTTGGGCTTTCCTCAGAAAAACAAGTGTTTTCAGATTCTTTAAATGGTTGAAAACTGACCTCAGAGGGATGCAGTTACAAGCAGAACAATTCACATTCACACATACCTTTTGGGTTCCCTATCTTGCTTCACATAGCAGACCTCATCACTTGGACAGCTTGGACCAGTTTTGAATACATGAGCAGGAAATGGAATTTTGGTACACTCAGCCTTATTTTCCAGCTTTGTGAAGCTTTTGCCAACATGAGATAGCCTTTACACTGCTATTAAACTGGCGGGTTTTTCTTTTTTTCTTTTAATGACTGAATTGTCCTTTCAGCTGCTCACTTTCTTAACAAAGTACAAGTGTCCTAGTTTTCATCTGCAAGGGTTGGGAAGGGCAGAGGAGACAAAGAGGTTTCACTTTTAAGGCGCACAATGTACCTTTTTAATGTGTATAAATAAGGCTCCAATTCCCAATGCTGTCAATCAGGCACTTTTCACAAGCCCTGTACTCACTAGATGAAATGAGAAAATTAATTCTCATTTCCTGTATCAACAAATCAATAGGAAGGAAATTGCATCCAGTCTTCCTAATCCTTTAATTACAGTGTCTTTCCTGTTATAGCCGGCATGAAAAGCTCACTTACAATAACCTGCCTTCTTTATCTCCAATTTCTTACACATATATTGAGTGTGTGGACAATCCACACCAAATATCCTGACCAGGCAAGGTTGAATTTCCGTTGTTCAAAACCCATATTTGAATTACTAGTGGGAAACTAGTCCAGAGTTAAATTTCTACCTTGGTGCATTGCTCATTGGAACATGATGAAATGGTGGGCAAGATCTTGGGAATACAAGTGAAGTGGAATTCTGCAAATTATCTGCCTGCCAGGATTTCCAAAATTTGGATGCTGGTCATGAATTTTTCATGCAGCATTTCAAATCTGAGAAACTGAAAAATCTGCTCCATGTGCATTTAGCTGGGAGACTGCTAAATGCTAACTGCTGTAGGAATAGTTGCCTATGATTCAAAATCTGCTTTCTTGGTGATGTTCTTTTCCTGTGCATCTGCTTTTCCAAACTTCCATATCTTTTTTTTTTTTTGTAGACCATCTACTGCCATCAAGGCATTTGAGTGCTGGAGGAAAAAGCACAATGATGGTAACTGAGTGGGTGACAGTGTTGACAGAGCAGGGCAGCACAGTCCATTTAAGTGTACAGGGAGAAGGAAACCAGAGTGGTCCTTAGGAGAGTGAGCCCTTCTAAAAGCAGGGATGCCCAGCTTTTCATACCAAGTGGGTCGCAATGCTATTTCGACACAGAACCCATGGGCCACTCACTGAATTAAATTTCCATTTCATAAATGAACGTGTTTGCCATATATTTATATTTAAAACACACAATTAATATATTTAATTAAATACATATAATCAAATGCACAATGAATATATTTAATATATTCAATTATTGAACAATTTTTTTGGAAAAGTTTTTATTATGAAAATAATTCAGCATTAATACACATATTGTGAATATACAAGCATACAAACATACATTTCATACAGTCCTTAAAAAAGTTCAAACATACCTACACTCAATCCCACAGATAATTCCTTTTCCCATCACCATCCACCACCCCTCACCCCACCTTTGTGTTAGACTTCCAATCTACTCAATTGCAATTTCTTTCCACTTCTATTACTTTCTTTCACACACCTTTAACCTAATTTCATGCTTCTTTTTCTATTACACATTGTCACCCATCTTATTTAGTATTTCAGTATTTAAAACAGAACTTGTTTATTCTAATAGGAGTTCTGATTTTTCAATATGGTTTTGCAAGTATCCTTTAAACACCTTCCAGTCCCTGTCTATCTTCTCTTTTGAGATCCTTCCAATTTCTCCCATTGTTTTGGATATATTGTAATACTCCAATAATTTGGCAAGCCACTCTGTTTTTGTTGGTATAATACCACTTTTCCAATCCTTCGCAATCAATAGCCTTGCGGCTACTGTTGCATATAAATATAATGTCTTGTTTTCTTCCTTTAGACTTTCTGGTACTATTCCCAATAGAAAACCTTCTGGTGTTTTCCTAAATGAATATCTAAACATTTTTTTCATTTTGTTATATATTGTTTCCCAAAATTGTTTGCTGTTTAAACAATTCCACCATATATGCATCATACTACCTTTTCCAGTGTTGCATCGCCAGCAGACATCGCTACAATTTTTATTCATTTTTGCTATTCTTTCAGGTGTTAAATACCATCTATGTTGTATTTTGAGGTAATTTTCTTTCAATATATAACCCATAGTGAATTTCATATCTTCTTTCCACAATTTTCCCCATTGTTCAATTATTGAACAAATTTAATACAGAAACAGATGTATGAGCTGTTGCTAACAATGCATGATGACGCACACAAAAATATATTCATGCTTCATGAATATCATGCACCAGGTGTGTGTTTTTCTTGAATGTTGCCGAGGGCCGCCAAAAAAGGCCTTAGGGCCACGGGCTGGACCATCCTTCTTCCACAAGCCATCTCTGTGGGAGGAATAAAGGAATCTGCCTCATACGGAGTCAGACCATTGGCCCATCAAGCTCAGCATTGTCAATGCAATGGCTCTACAGGATTTCTGACTGAGGACTCTTCCAGCCCAACGTGGAGATGCTTGGGACCTCCTGCATGCAAAGTAGCCGCTCTATCCCAGAGCTATGACCTTCCTCTCTTATAATGTTTAATGAAAGATGAATCTGGATCCCAGGTACCTTCCCTGCAAGTTTATTCCAAGGAAGCATTTCTGCTGAATGTTGCAGAGGTAGCTGCACCACAAGATGAAGGCGCTGTGACCTTCAAACGAGTCGCCAGTCTTTGAAGTGCTAAATTTGCTTTGCATGCAAAGTGGCCCAGGCCCAATCCCTGTCATTTCTATGTAGGGCTCAGAAAAACCTCATTCTGAGACCCTGGCGTACTGCTGCTAGTCAATTTAGACTACAGCGGAGCCAACAGTTCTCAGAAGGGAGTTTTCTGAGAGTCCATCCTTAATGTTCCAGGGTGTAACATGGACCTAGGAGCCTGTTTCACTGCATGAGGCCTCAGGCTGCATTACAAAATGGTTCGAAGCCTAGAGTCACACACAAAAATCATTAACTTTAAATTTCGGTTACTTTTGCAATTAATCCAGGTACCAGCATGGCTGCCAGCACAAGATTAATATTAAGGAGAAATTCAGTGCCGCTAAACAGTAATCAAAATGTTAATAGCCTTGGAGTTTAATTTATTTAGGAGAAGTAGCATTTATAAAAGTGATAACACTGCTAATATTAGTATGAATAATATTATTGTATGGCACGCTGTAATAGGATAATTAGTTGTGATATCAGGAATGGAAAATCACACTGGTTTTCCAGAAGTTCCTGCCAAAGGGGGTGGGGAGGAGGAGTTCATCATAGAGATGTGCAGCATATCCAATGATTTCAAAAGCACACAGGACAGGGACTTCTCTGTGGCAAGGAGAATCTACCTTCTTCCATCAGATATAGCCTCTGAAAGGCTGAAGTGTTTTGCCTTTCCAGTGATGAGCTCAATTTAGTGGCTGCTGTCATGTCAAACAATCCCCCACAGAGAAAACAGCGCTTTGCTTCTCAGAGAAAATCTTCAACTTCTTAATCGTAAAAAATGTTACTCAGCTCCCTGCTTCTGGTGTCCTTCAGTTTCAAGCCTCTGCCTCCTTCGCCCTCCTGTCCAGGGGTGCCATGGGGTGTGTGTGAGAGAGGGGCCCCCAAATTTTCAAGGATGGGACCAGGCCCCATCAAAATTCCACAGCAACCGTGAAAATGCTGCATGGCGTGCTCACATCCCGTGCACAAGCTGTGCGGTGCAGGCGTGACTTGTCAGTGTGTCGTGCAACGTTCACGAGTGATTGTCAGCACATTGCATGGCGTGTGCACTTGACACCAGCACATTGAACGGTGTGTGTGCGCATTGCATGGTGCCAGCCCCCACAATTGTGGTGGTAGGGCAGTGGTGCTTACTTGACAAAACTGGCATCGCAGCAGCTAAGAAGGATGAGGAAGGGTGAGGTGGTCATGCAGTTGGCATGGCACAAATGCACAATGGGACCCAAGTTGATGCTCCAGCCCTTATGTTTGCACTGTGCTTATGCTGACTTCACTGCCACCTTGCCCTTTTCCTCCCCGCTAATCCACAGCAACACCAGTGACCCAAGGTTAGGTAAATGCTGCTGTTCTCCAAATGCTACTGCATCATGGTCCCTATTTCACACATTCTGTTTACTTTGTCTCTCCCTCCCTTTAGCTATCTCACATGTGAGCACCTTGAGCTTTACCTCTCCATATCTCTGCACCATAATAATAATAATAATAATAATAATAATAATAATTTATTATTTATACCCCGCCCATCTGGCTGGGCTTCCCCGGCACTCTGGGCGGCTTCCAAAAGAATATTAAAATACTATAATACATCAAACATTAAAAGCTTCCCGAAACAGGGCTGCCTTCAGATGTCTTCTAAAAGCCTGGTAGTTGTTGTTCTCTTTGACATCTGGTGGGAGGGTGTTCCACAGGGAAGGCGCCACTACCGAGAAGGCCCTCTGCCTGGTTCCCTGTAACTTGGCTTCTCGCAGTGAGGGAACCGCCAGAAGGCCCTCGGTGCTGGACCTCAGTGTCCGGGTAGAATGATGGGGGTGGAGACGCTCCTTCAGATATACTCCTTCAGATATACCATTCAGCACCCAAGCCCTTCCACTCTCTGCTGGCCTCATACCTCTGCCTCTGTTGCTTCCCCCTGTCAATTAGCATGCATCTTTTCCTATACCTTATGTGGGGTATAGCCAACTCAGCCTAGACTTCCAGCATCCTTCACATAAACTGTATTGCTTTCCAGGATTCTGTGACTGATTCTTCCCCTTTAGAATGTTACTGAACATTCCATGGCATCTGTGACATCACAGATGCTCAAGGAGTGGCTAGGGGCAGTTTCTGGAGCCACCTTGTTCTGCTGCTCCTTCTTGCTATTGCTGCCCTCTGTGGCTAAGCAAGCCTAAGCAGTGGGGCAGAGCAGCCAAGAAAGAGATGTAAGCAAATGAGAAGTGACCATAGGGTCAGGGAGGGTGAGATGGGTGCTCTCAGGGAATGGTCCTACTGCGTGCATTTTGACCGATGGTCTCTCAAAGCCTGAAACTGGCACTTGGGAAAAGAGTCACACATGACAGAAGTGAGCCAGCTAACTGGGCACAGGACAGTTTTCACAGGGTAATCAGTAAAACCAGATCACCATATCTGAAAGCACGCCAACTCACCATCTAGGGTCACTGGCAATGCTTGCAAAGGTCTTGCTGAACTGCCAGTTCCTATTTTCGTCTATCCCATGGAAGGACTGACCCTGGATAGATTAAATTATAGCTCATTCCTAGTTTGATGATGGGGTTTCTCTAGGTTGGGTTGATTTACGCATCGCAACATAGCTATGATTTACACATTGTAATATATCACACTCAAAACTAATTAAAGAAATGTGTATCCGCTAGAGAAAAGGAACACGGGAATAGCTGGGGCTGGGGAAGAAGACCTTCAAGCTCAGACTGCTTCTGTCTTTGAATATTTGGACAAAAGCCAGCCACAACTTTTAAGGTCCAATGTTGTTTAAAAACAGGCAAGAAAAAAAGAATTCCATCTGAAGATGGAAATAAACCCTCGATATTGCAGGAAGTCTGAACTGAATGAAATTGCTAGAGATGTCACACAAAGCACAAATGTTTTTTCTTGAGGCTTAGCATCTATGTATTTACAGTATTTTTGGAAGCAAAAATATGGTATTGATGTTAATGGGTGAAATCCAGTAGTGTCTGTCCGCAAGCGGAAGAGACACACACCCATGGCAAAACAGATTTTTCCTCTATTTGGGGGAAAGATTGTGGGGCACTGGGGCACGCGGGTGGAGTACAGAAACTGGAAGTCTGTTCACATGAGGTTGGATGTTGCCTAACATTTTCAATTGCTTTTTGATGCTTTAACTTTTCCTGTTATTCACAACCTATTAGCTGCAGTTTCATATCTACTACAGCTGTGTCGAAACCTGTCCTCATTCCCCCCCCCAATGTTTTTTTCAACTGTGAAAGAGATTTCCATTTAGCCAGCCCATGAGGCGGATTGAGGCATCCATCTTAGGAGCAGAATCCCAAGGGGCAAAGCCCCATGGGCACCCTGCCTGACTGCTGCTGCTGAAGTGAGGAGAAGCGATGGTGGCTTCTGCCGAGATCTCATGAAGATCTTGTGAGATGTCGCAGCTGCCAAAGCTTCTCCTAACCTCTTCCACCGCCGCAGCATCAAGGAGAAGTGGCTGCCACTTCTGGGTTCTGGTGAGATCTTGTGGACATCGTGCGAGAATTTGCCGGAAGCCAGAAGCTTTCGTCATGTGACCCTGGTAAGCGAGACTTTGGCGGAAGGGAAGGTGGGAGGTGGCACAGTCTCATTTCACCTCAGGTGGCTGTTATGTACTGAGTTGAATAGGATCCAAAATGCAGCAGTCTGATTGGTCCTAGAACAATAGGATTCAGAATGCAGCAGTCTGATTGGTCCTAGAACAATAGGATTCAGAATGCAGCAGTCTGATTGGTCCTAGAACAATAGGACCCAGAATGCAGCAGTCTGATTGGTCCACAGGAGCCACCCAATCCAGCTCCAGGTGGAAGTGAATCCACAACCTGATTGGTCTACAGGAGAATCCCGGAATTAGCCAATCACATGGGGCCCATTGTCTAAATAATGTATATAAAGCAGACCTTCTGGGGGAACTTCCATTCCTCCTCACCACTATGAGCTGAATAAAGAGCATGAAATCCACTCTCGACTTCGAGTATATTTCAGTGGCAAAATAGTTTGGGGTGCCCCTGTCTCCCCACCTCTTCTTCCCACTAAACATTTCTCAGCAGCTTCACCTACTTGTCCCTGCTTCCTGATCTCAAATTCTCCTATGGGAAGAGTTACATCAGGGTGTCGTCCCCTGGGTTTGCATTGATGTGTGAAAAGTCAGGGAGCAGGATGGCTGTTGAGGACCTTAGAGTGGGGTGCTCACTGATTTTGTTTTTGAGGGAAGCTCTTTCTTTTGCATTAACACACACACACACACACACACACACACACACCCCTTTATGCACTGATTTCTTGTCAAGCAAAACTACTTCACTTCAAAGACAACGGAGAACAGCTGTCACCTTCTGTTTACAGAGAAGCCCAGCAGAAGACATCAGGCGCTTTCAAGAAATGCTGGCACTCAGGAAGACTGCAGAGTGAAGACTTCCAAGACCACCAGAGAGGTGATTTGTAGAATTAAAGGACATTCACAAACACCCCACAGTCCCCTTGAATGCAAACTAAATGCAACAAAACCCTGTAACACCTCCACCAGAGAATTTTTCCAAACGTTTCTCTCCCCTTTGAGATATGTTGAATGCAATTTCTTTTGTCAGTAATTGTTCGAGAATGCCCACATCTGCCCCCCCAATCAGGATTTTTTTTGTGGGGGGATATATATATTTATATACACACACATACATATATAATATAAATGTATTGTGCTGGGCAAGTTATATTATGGTTGACTCCACATCTAGGTTTATGGATAAAAAAATTAGAAACCCTCTAGCAATCCTCTCATTTCATTGTAAAATCCACTTTCCTAGACTGGATAATTTTCCATCCATTACCATTTGGTTTCACTGTTGATATGAACAGCTGAAGAACATACACATATTTTTTATTTGCTCTGTTTATAATGAAGTGCTTTAATATTGTGAAATGCCTTTTATTAAATCCAAAGTTCACAGGGCATAATTTGAAGCATTGCTACTGG